AGAGTGTAAAGTAAAGAATGATAAAGTAAAGAAAAGAATGTAAAGTACCTGATTCCATAATATGAGAAAAGGTGGTCTTGTATCCTTACATTGGTATATGATTTCATTTGAGTTCTTATTTCACATACAGTACTTTATGCCTTACATACTCAGTACATTCTCCCGTACTGACGTCTCTCTCGGGGGACCTGCAATTCATGTTGTAGGTACAGGAGCTAGAAGATCTCTCTAGTAGGAGAACAGGACATCCAGCGGCTATTGGTGAGCTCCAGGTTGATTCGGGGCTTTCCGAGTCTATAGCATGTATTTTGGTATTGTATAGTAGCTGAGTGTAAAGCGGGGCCTGTCCCGACCTGAACTCCAAAATGTTTTATCATTTAGAGGCTTTGTAGACTATGTATAGTGAAGTGTGGTTGTGCCTCGTTTCTTAGACATCATGGTCCTAATGGCCAAGCCATGTGCACTTTCTTTTGGCTTGTTAATACTGTCTACTTTCATGAAAACATGTTATCCACTATGGCACTACCTTTAAATGTTCATAGATAGAGCATGATTACAGGTTGGTTCTCCTGAGCCTTCTCGGCAACGGGTGCCGGTTCGCCTAAATGGGATTTTAGGTGTGACAAAAGTGGTATCAGAGCAGGTCATCCTAGGGAGTCTACGAAGCCGTGTCTTTGTAGAGTCTTGCTTATGGATGTGTTGTGCACCACATTTATAAACAGGAAGCTATGAGACATATAGGAATTGTTTCTTTTCTTTCATGTCTTAGATCGTGCGATAGAACCAATGTTGTAGGAGAATCGTATCTAACTTCTGAATTGCTTTATTATAGCAAAGATGCCTGTTACGAGGAGTAAAAGTACATGTAAGTGAGTAGATATGGCTACCCAAGAAGGGACCAGCCAACCACCACCTAATCAAGCTGTTCAAAGTGAGGCTCAAAATGAGTCTCTATCACAGACTTCACCGACCCCTCCATCTCCATAAGATCTAACGAGGGAAGCTGCACCTCAAGAACCTACTATTAATGCTACCGAGCAAGATTTGAGGAATTCGGTTCAATTATTGACTCGTATTGTTGTTGGCCAGGGTCAAAGGCAAGAAGTCCCAGTTGCGGGTATTGGTGGTGCAGATAGGGCAGCTAGCATGCGGATACATGATTTCCTTAATTTGGACCCTCCATCATTCACCGGGTCAGATCCTAATAAAGATCCGCAAGACTTTATTGATCAAATCCAACGAACTTTGGATGTTATGCACGTGAGTGGTAAAGAAGCTGTTGAGCTAGCAACATATAGATTAAAAGGTGTGGCTATATTATGGTATGAAACTTGGAAGCAATCTAAGAGTACAGATGCACCTCCAACTACTTGGAAAGAATTTAAAAAGGCGTTTCTTGATCATTATTTGCCATTGAAGATTCGAGAGGCCCGCGCAGATCAGTTCTTAAATCTTCACCAAGGGGGTATGAGCGTGAGAGAGTACAGTCTCCAATTTAATTCCTTGTCCAGATATGCTCCCAATGTAGTTGCTACTATAGAGGATATAGTTCGTCAATATGTGGATAGATTGGATTCGTATCTGGTTAGATATTGTACTATTGCTTCTTTAAATAAAGACATGGATATAGCAAGGATAGAAGCTTTTGCACAAAAATTGGAGGATCAAAAACAGAGAAGAAGGGCACAAGAGACAGAAAGGGGTCAGTCCAAGAGGGCTAGGTCTACCGGGTAGTTTACACCACCCCAAGGTGAGTTTAAGCCTCAGTTTTCTAATAGACCAACTAGGCCGTCATTTCCCTACTCTACAGCTAGCGCTCCACCCCAATTTCAATGGCCGAGAGGCAGTCAGTTTAGGCAAAAGAGTGAGAGCCAAGGTTCACGGACATTGGGATATCCAGAGCAGGGCAGTACAAGCCAAATAATGCCTCATAGACAGCCTTGTAAACAATGTGGGAGGAGTCATTTAGATATATGTTGTATTGGAACAGATGCCTGTTATTGGTGTGGTATGCCAGGGCACCAAATGAGAGATTGCCCTAAAAGGCGCATGGGTGATATAGCACAACCTACTTGATCAGCTGTTGCATCGTCATCATTGGTTCCTCCTTTAGGTAGAGGTCAACAGGTTCCTACAGGTCGTGGTAGAGGTGTTAGAGGAGCAGCTAGTTTTAGCGGAGTCCAAAATTGCACATATGCTCTAGGGAGTCGACAGAACTTGGAGTCTTCACCTGACATATTAACAGGTACATTGTTCATCTTTTCACATAATGTATATGCGTTAATTGATCCTGGTTCCACACTATCGTATATCACTCCACTAGTTGCTGGGAAGCTTAAAAGAACACCAAAATTATTGAATAAACCATTTGAAGTGTCTACACCAACTGTTGCGTCTATTATAGCAAGAAGGGTCTATCATAACTGCATAGTAACTGTTTATGATCATGATATATTGGCTGACCTAATTGAACTAGAAATGGTTGAATTTGATGTTATAATGTGTATGGATTGGTTGGCTTCTTGTTATGCCACGGTGGATTGCCAAACTAAGAGAGTGCACTTTCACTTTCCAAATGAGGTAGTCCTTGAATGGGAAGGCAATGTTGCAGTGCCAAAGGGTAAGTTTATTTCTTATTTGAAGGCGAGGAAGATGATGTCAAAAGGGTATATATGTCATCTAGTTAGAGTGAGAGATGTGGAGGCAGAACCACCGACTCTTCAATCTGTTCCGGTAGTAAAATGAATTTATTGATGTGTTTCCTGAATAGCTTCCAGGTTTACCCCCAGAACGAGAAGTAGAGTTTGGTATTTGATTTAATTCCAGGCACTCAACCTATCTCTATTCCTCTGTATATAATGGCCCCGTCAGAATTACGTGAATTAAAGGATAATTAAAGGACTTGTTAGAAAAAGGGTTTATAAGGCCTAGTGTGTCCCCATGGGGTGCACCCGTTTTATTTGTACGTAAGAAGGATGGCATGTTGAGAATGTGTATCGACTACTGACAACTGAATAGAGTGAAAATTAAGAATAAATACCCTCTCCCCAGAATTGATGATTTGTTTGATCAGTTACAAGGTGCCAAGTGTTTTTCAAAAATTGACTTGAGAACAGGTTATCACCAAGTGAGGATGAAGGAGAAGGATATACCCAAGACAGCTTTCCGAACACAGTATGGTCATTTCGAATTTCTCGTTATGTCATTTGGGCTAACAAATGCACCGGCAATTTTTATAGATTTGATGAATAGGGTGTTCAAGCCATTCTTGGATGTATTTGTGATAGTATTTATAGATGGTATCTTAGTGTATTCAAGATCAGAAGAGGACCATGCAAATCGTGATAGTATTTATAGATGATATCCTAGTGTAGTCAAGATCAGAAGAGGACCATGCAAATTGTGATAGTATTTATAGATGGTATCTTAGTGTATTCAAGATCAGAAGAGGACCATGCAAATCACTTACGACAGGTATTACCAGTTCTTCGTGATCGGTGGTTGTATGCCAAGTTCTCCAAATGTGAATTTTGGTTAAAATCAGTGGCGTTCTTGGGTCATATTGTATCTGATGAAGGAATAAGGGTTGATTCACAAAAGATAGAGGACGTGAAAGATTGGCCAAGACCAACAACACCCACAGAGGTTCGTAGCTTCCTAGGGTTGGCAGGTTATTATAGAAGGTTCGTTGAAGGATTTTCTTCTATTTCTGCACCTTTAACTAAGCTAACACACAAGGAAACTAAGTTTCAGTGGAATGATGCATGTGAAAGAAGCTTACAAGAGTCGGCCACATGAGAGAAACTACCCAACACATGATCTTGAGCTAGCAGCGGTTGTATTTGCTTTAAGTATATGGTATCACTATTTATATGGGGTTCATGTTGACATATATACAGACCATAAAAGTTTCCAATACATCTTCAAGCAGAAGGATCTGAATTTGAGGCAGCGAAGATGGTTAGAGTTAATAAAAGATTATGACGTTGATATACTATACCATCCAGGGAAAGCAAACGTAGTAGCCGATGCTCTCAGTCGCAAGACAATATCACGTATTAATGAGCAGACCGTGGAAAAAGAAGGGATGGCGAAGGATCTACGTCAACTAGCTAGTTTGAGAGTTCGTCTTCTTGAAACCCCAAAAGAAGGAATTGTAGTGCATAATGCGACAGAATCTTCATTAGTAGTTGAGGTGAAAGAGAATCAGTTCAAAGATCTTACTCTACAACGACTCAAGGACAAGGTAAATCAAGGTACGACAAAGGGATTTGAGCTTACACAAGATGGAGTACTTTGTTGTCAAAATAGATTGTGTGTACCTAATGTTAATGGGCTAAGAAGGAGGATAATGACAGAAGCACATCATTCAAGATATTCCATCCATTCGGGATCAACTAAAATGTATCATGACTTGAAAGGAGTGTATTGGTGGAGGGACATGAAGAAGGACATTGCAGAATTTGTGGCTCAATGTCCAAATTGCCAGCGAGTCAAAGTAGAGCACCAAAAGCCGGGAGGTTATATGCAGTGTATGGAGCTTCCAACTTGGAAGTGGGACATGATCAACATGGATTTTGTCACTGGGTTTCCTCGCTCGTTTCGTAAGTTTGACTCCATATGGGTAATAGTTGATAGACTCACCAAGTCAGCACATTTCTTGCCAATTAAGACTAATTATACAACTGAAGAGTATGCAAGGTTATATATTAAAGAGATAGTTCAGCTACACGGGGTTTCAATCTCTATTATATCTGATCGAGGAGCTCAATTCACTACAAATTTTTGGAAATCATTCCAAAAGAGTTTGGGAACACAAGTGAATTTAAGTAAAGCCTTCCACCCTCAAACGGATGGTCAAGTAGAACGCACAATCCAAACACTTGAGGATATGCTTCAAGCTTGTGTCTTAAACTTCAAAGGTAGCTGGGATGATCATTTGCCACTTATTGAGTTTGCCTACAATAATAGTTATCATTCTAGTATCAAAATGGCACCTTATGAAGCTTTATATGGAAGGAAGTGCAGATCACCAAAATGGCACCGTGATACAACAACGGCTAGCAACAGCTCAAATCCGACACAAATTATATGCAGATGTTAGAAGAAGAGGATTAGAGTTTTCTATAGAAGATTGGATGTTCTAGAAAGTATCGCCAATGAAAGGGGTAATGAGATTCGGTAAAAAGGGAAAGTTGAGTCCACGCTACATAGGGCCATATAAGATTATTCGAAGAGTTGGCCAAGTTGCATATGAGTAAGAGCTACCTCAGGAGCTTTCAGCAGTTCATTCGGTGTTTCATGTCTCAATGCTTCGGAAGTGCGTAGGTGACCCATCTTATATCACTCATATTGAAGATGTACAAGTTACAGGGGATCTCACCTATGAAGAAGTACCTATTGCTATTCTAGATCGTCAGGTTAAAAAGCTAAGGAATAAAGAAATGGCTTCAGTAAAGGTGCTTTGGAAAAACCAACAAGTTGAAGAAGTAACGTGGGAAGCTGAGGAAGCGATGAAATCCAAGTACCCTTATTTATTTGAACCTAAAGGGGAAGTCCAAGGTGCAAAATGAGGGCATTAATAGGTACGCATGAAAGGGTATTTATTATGTGGTTAAAAGTTGATTTAAACTAAGGTTTGAACTTATTTAAGCTATCTGATTATACTAGCATTCGAGGACGAATGTTCCTAAGGGAGGGAGGATGTAACACCCCGTATTTTACGTGTACAAGTTCTACACATATGGAACTTGATTTAGCTTGGTGGTATAAGTAATGAACTTGATTTCCTAGATGAATGGTGACAATAAAGAAGCTATAAGGGTAACTCCCGTACATTGCAATATTGCACGATCGAGTGAACGTTAAATTTTAGAAGTATTTAAATTCTGGATCGAAGGGCTATATGTAAGTCTAAAAGTTAAGGTGATCAAGTGTATATAAGTTTTGATTTAAACTAAGGAGATTACGCTCGATAAACGAATAAAAGAATTGAGGTGCTTGTTGGACTTTATAAAGCTA